ATTGAAGGCTGCATCAGGATTGTGTTTGACCTGGGGGGGGTGTGTGGGCATGGTAGGGGGCATGGCCAGCTCAACATCACTTGTGTCAGGGGTTTGTGGTAACCTGAGCATTCTGCCAGCAAAAACTGGCTCCAGAGCTCCGTTTTCGGCTGTGATGGCCTCCGGCATCCCTCTGCTTGTGAAAACGGAGCTTGGGAGGGCCACGTGTGGTCCTTCCAAGCTCCATTTTTGCTGGCAGAGGCACCGCAGGCCAGTCCCTCATTGTTTCCAGGGTGGCCCCGTGGGCCAGATCAAAGCACCCCTTGGGCTGAATGTGGCCCCCGGGCCTTGAATTTGACACCCCTGGAATAGATGGAACTGTTTCTGAATATTTCCCACGCTGACAACTCCCTGCAACCAGAGAACTAATACAAAAAGCAATGTGTTCATCTATGTATGACCTGCCTCATCAGTTGTATATTTTTTTTTAATATGCGAAGTACTATTTCCTACTAAATATGGAGAAACATTCAAAAATGGCATTCTTCCAGCTACAATGTTAGGTGATGCAATGAATTCAACCCTTCCAAAATTCTCTCCCGCAATTCTCACCTCATTTTGCTACAGGGAAAGACAGTCTTATTCTTGAATGTCCAGCTTTCATCCACAACACCACAAAACTGAAATGGAAGTTGCTCTGTCTGACAGAGGTTGCACAATCAAACTCCTGCAGGGAACATTTCCAAAGTTTGATAAGATGGGCTTCGAAAAGCTCTAACTTTATTAGAATAAGAACATATTTATACACTGATATGAAAAGCATTTAACCAAATAGAAAACTACAAAAATCCAACAAAAAGAACCTCCAAATTAGGCTTAGAGGCCTTCCTAAATGAGGATTATGTCATCAGAAAATTATGCTTCCAAAGTTATACAGGTAGAAAACGTTTCATGGGACAAGCAAAATATGAAATGAGCTTTAAAGTCTACTCAATTTTTTTTCTTTTTAGCATTTCACAACCTCAGTGATGACTAATCTAAATACAGGTAGTCCTTGACTTACAACAGTTCATTTAGCGACCATCAAAGTTACAAAGGCACTGAAAAAATGTGACTTATGACTGTTTTTCCCAGTTACCACCTTTCCACATCCTCATGATCATGTGATCAAAATTCAGATGCTTGGTAACTGGTTCATATTTATGACCGTTGCTGTGTCCCAGATCCTTTTACGTCCTTCTGTCAAACAAAGTCAGTGGGGAAGCCAGATTCACTTAACAACTGCGTTACTAACTTATCAACTGCAGTGATTCACTTAACAACTGAGGCAAGAAAGATTGCAAAATGGGGGCAAAATTCACTTAACAAATGTCTCACTTAACAACAGAAATCTTGGGCTCACTTGTGGTCGTAACTCAAGGACTACCTATATGGGGACAATGCTTGGATGCAGCAGAGTTTAGAACTGGAGTGAGAAACCATGGTGCCCTTAGCTGGTTCAAATTACCACTCCCAGAATCTGTGCCCTTGGTCATGATGCTGGGGATAAGGGTTATTGAAGCATTTGGAATCGATCAGACTGCCCCTCCTCTTAGTTAGAGGATGTCCTTTTAAGAAGCTCCTTCCCATTGGCTCTCCTGATCCAGAACACCCTTTGAAAAGCCACCAATTAGAGTGGTTAATTCAGTTCTTAAGACCTGAGGAGAAGCCAATCGCCCTTGACACAGCATAATAATGGTTTACCTTTTTTTGCTAAAAAAAAATGAAGCCAGACTATGATGTGATGTTTGAATCAAGAAGTGCTTAGTCACAAAGCACAGAATAAATAGAATTTTGTGGTAGAAAATACAACTTTGTATCAATCTTCTGAAGGTAGGAGTAATATGATGAATACAAAGTTTCACACTTAAGATGCTTGCTCCAAATCAAGCATATAAACATACATACATACATACATACATACATACATACACACACACACATATACATATGTATGTATGTATATATGTATGGTATTCAGCTTTGTTCGGGTATTTTCCCACGTCATTGTAGTTGTGCTTTTAAAGTTGTAGCAACGTTTTGGCAGAATCTCATCTGCCATCATCAGGCTTCTGTATTGTGTTCGTATATGAGTCAGACTTTCACAGCAGTTTATATATATATGTATATATGTTTGACATATTATGTATGTGTATAATTGAAAATAATTACATCTATTTCATTCCTTACTATTAAGGAATGTATGTGTCTACAGTTCAAGAGCTTGATAACTTCACAAAATAAAAGGAACCTATTTCTTTAAAATGCTGCATGAAACTAGGTGCTACTGCCATCTTGTGGTTAGTTACATTACAATCTTTGGAGGGTTCCAAATTCAGGGATAATATTCTGTATTTGCACATTATAATTCAGCTTGGGTAGGAGACCACCAGGACAACCAAGGGCTGAAGGATAGATTGGAAAATAAAAAATAAAAAAAACAGAAAAAGCCAATGGCAAACCATTTCTATTTTGCTGACAAAGAAATTACACAGACATATAGTTATCAGATCTAGTAAATATAAGAGAATATTTATCTTTTTATTTTATATTAAGCCTACCAAATACACTTACACAGAAATCAGATTTGAACAGTCCATTTCTGACAGAAGGCCACAATTTAAATCCTAGGAGATGCTTCCAATGTATATATTTAATATTAAAATATTTAAATATTAAAATATATTTAATATTAAAATATTAATATTAAAATATTAAGTGGATCACGAAGAGACAATTATTAGAGAAGTTATGACTCGCTGTGGCTCCTTTTAGGTAGAAGGAAAGTCAAATGTGTCTCATGTAATATATAAAACGTTGACTTTTATTTTTGAAATGGTAACTAAACCAGTTCAGTTAATTATATTTTCATCCGTTTGTTTAAATATAACTGGCATAGCAAATCAGAACTTAAGTTTGCAAAGCCTCTGATTATTCTAGAAGAAAGTATATAGTAGGGGTCTACATCTATATAGTAGGGGTGTTCAAACTTTTTGCTTGCCTGGGCAGCATTGAGTGTACATAAATTATCTTGAGCTGCATATGAAATATATAATCAATCTATACAAATCACGTTAACATTTTACAAATGTGGGGCCTCATTACTAGCTGTCCAGCCATATGCAGCGAATTAGCCATATGCAGGTTGGACACACTTGATCTAGAGTTCTTAATAGGTAGTGAAACATGTTCCAGCACTTGAACAAGGCCAATGGTGTGTGGCAAGAGCAGTAGTAAAGAAGCAATATCTGGAACGTCTGAGGTTTTCCATTTCTATAACAGGCCATCATTAAAAGGATACATCAATACAGGTAGTCCGCGTCTTACAACAGTTCATTTAGTGACCATTCAAAGTTACAGCAGCACTGAAAAAAGTGACTTGCAACATCCCCATGGTCACATGATCAAAGTTAAGATGCTTGGCAAAACTGGTTCGTATTTATGACATTTGCAGTATCCTGGGGTCATGCGATCAGCTTTTTGCGACCTTCTGACAAGCAAACTCAGTGGAGAATCCAGATTCACTTAACAACCATGTTACTAACTTAACAAAGTCAATGATTCACTTAACAATGGTGGCAAGAAAAGTTGTAAAATGGGGGCAAACACACTTAAAAATGTGCCACTTAGCAACCTAAATTTTGGGCTCCATTGTCATCGTAACTCGAGGACTACCTGTATAGGCAATACTGATTTCTAATGTTATGTGCAGCATGTAAATAGCACAATCTTTTGCAAGCTTCATGAGACCATAAAACAGAAGAATCCAATGTGCCACAATTATTTGGCAGAAAAATCAGGGTGGGGTATTTTAGCTTAATAGTAGTTACTATTGATTAGTAATCAAGAATTTACTAGAAAGTTGAGGATAACTTCCAAATGTTCTCAGAACTGGAACCTACCACTCAGAATCTACCAATACCATAATTTTGTTTTACAAAAATAGCTCTCATCACCATGTCTTAAAAAGGGTATTATATCCTTAGAAAGGTGCAGAAGTGATTGGGGTCCAGAATATTTTCCTTTGTCATACACTTACAATGGACTATTGATTGATTGTATTGCTACGCTGTTATTTTTGTAAAACACCAAAGCTAGAGGGAGGGACAAACTGTAAAATAATGTACAATGCAAAGGAGGAGGATATGAATTTCTTTTCTCTCTGCTAGAACACTAGATTCATCCAAGGAATTTAAGAAGTGGAAAATTTAGAACAGACAGAAGGAAAGATTTCTTCCTACAAAGCATTGTTGAAGAACAGAATTGCTGAAACCAAATGGCTGCCAGATATGTGTCACAGGTAATTCACTATCTGGAAATCTCACAGAAAGCACTAGACTTGCCCCAAAACTAGGCTTGACAAACTAGAGCCACAGTCAAATTACTGCTGACAATCTAGGCCTGGAAAGGCCAGGACTACAGTCAACTTAATTCTCTTTTACTTTCAGAGCTAACTATGAATCAATCTACTTTTATTCTGACTTGATCACCAATTATATTTAGTAGCTTAATCTGGAACAAAATTCTAATATTCACATTGGTGAAGACATAATACTCACCAAAGTTACTACTTTGAAACTGCATAGTGTTAGTAATGGAGAAAGAAGAAAAGAGATGAATGTTTCCTATGACTAGGTGATTAGAACAGTAAAACTACACTTAGGATTAGCAATTTGACACTTTAAATCCCATATGAAATACTCAATGGAAGACATTGACTAATTTCACACTTGCACTAAACAGTAACAGAATTGCTCTCATTTTGAGTAAGTTGTATGAATCCTGAACTCTATTACAGTGATACATAAACCATGTTTTATACTGAAAGTATTATGTATGAATTCAGCCACTGTGGTTTATTTAATCAATACTTAGATCTTTACAACATCAATATGACAATATCAACACTGCTTTAAACAAGACAAAGGGTAACTGTCTAATATGGAAGAGGACATATACATCTAGAGGGGAAAAGTCCATACCTTCCATTTTCGGCTAAAATTGCACCTTCATCCTTCAGGTGTTTACTTTGGGCTACGCAATCTTCCAGAAGAAGCCCCTTTTTCCTTTTGGCCTCCTGAAGCCAATCAACTTCACCATTATCAACCAGGCCCTGTTCATCAGCAGCTTGAGCTTCAAATTGCTGGGATGTTACCTTAGATACCTTCTCACCAATCTTTCTCTTCCATCCAAAGGAAGCCATTCCAGAAAACTGAGAAGAATGCACATTTAATTATTGGTATAATTTTCATCTATATGTGAACACATCTATTTCAATTTATCACATCAATTTACATAGGTAATCCATGTTATGTAAGCAATCTAGCCTAAGCAACAAATCCATTTGCTTAAAAAAAGCCTTAATTTCTGCTGACAAAATCAGCTTACAATTTATCATTTTGCTACCTACAGGTGTTCAAATGAATTAAAAGCAAAATCACAGATGCTGGCTGGGGAATTCTGGAAGTTCATAGATCTTAAAGTTCCAGAAGTTGGCTTAAATCATAAAATGCTATCCTTTAAGTTCATGGACGTTTATAATATTATTTTTAAAGTACCTTTCAAGCAAATCTGAGGCATATATCAGCTGCTTATTTATACCCAAGAGGATTCAGACAATCAAGATACAAGGGCTAATTTCAGCATTCCCACCCTTCAGGTTTCCTACATTTCCAAGTACCTGAAGAGCTATCAATCTGAAATAATGTCTTCCAGGACTGGTCTGACCATAGGCAGAAGCTTTGCCATGGCTGGAACCATGATAGGCATTTTGCCCCCTTTGAACTACAACTCCCAGAATGTCTCCCGGTGGGACTTAAAAAGTCTTGGTACAAAGGAGCCATCAAGGTTGTTTTTCAAATATCCCAGTCCACCCTTTACAGAATGAAAATGCAAACAAAGGTGAAATAAATGTCTTTTATTAGGAAAAACTTAGGAGAGAAAAGGTCAGAATCCGGTGGAAAGAAGGGTAGCATGATTACCTGGAGGCTCCCCTCTCCAACGGTGTCTTTCTAGTGCTGTCGTTCGTAGGATAACAACCAACCGGAAATGGCAAACCCGAAAATAGCGGCGCTCTGCGCAATGTCACAAACTCTATGTTCAATTTCCGCTTTGGGGGGGGAGGGTCGCGAAGGTCTGCTCTAACGTCCATGGAGAAAAGGAGTGGGGGGTTGAGGAGCACCATGAAAGGAAAAATACGTTCTATGTACCGACCATGAGACCATTCTTTATTATGTTCATAAAATTAATGGTGAAGGAATTCCAGAGCTCCACGGCGAGCCAAGTCCTGGGATTGCACCGCAGAGCCTACTGGGTGTTGTAGTATGTTGTGTGATCACGTGACCGACATGGATTGCTACTATTGGCTAGCATTAGAATTTTAACCGTCCCACTTGCGAATAATGGTCCCTTTATGGACTTCAACTCCCAGAATTCAATTCCCTGAGCAATGCTTGCTTAGGAATTCTGGGAATCGAAGTCCACAAATGATAAGAGGGCCATCGTTCCCCAACCTTGCTTGACTGGGTTAAGAAGATCCTCTCCACCCAATCCTCAGGCTGGAAGAGACAATATGAAATGTATCACCCAGGGGTCGTCAAACTTGACAGTTTTAAGACTTGTGGATTTCAACTCCCAGAATTCCTCCTTTAATCATGTTAGCTCAGGAATTCTGAGAGTTGAAGTCCACAAGTCTTAAACTTGCCAAGTTTGAAGACCCCTTTGCCAATCCATTCTTCCTCTATTTTTCATTATCTCAGACAGTGGCACTGCCCTCATTATATGCAAGGTAAACAAATGGTGATTTTTTTGGCTTTGCTGATCTCCCTTTTCATGTCATTTGCTGATGGGGGAAGTGTATCTGTCAAAGTGTTGTAGCAATTCCTCAAACATGAACCTTGAAATTCAGTAAGATGGATACCTTGTTTATACCTTGATAAACTATGAACACCTGAACTCCTAAAGCAGAGGTCTCCAAACTTGGCAACTTTAAGACTTGTGGACTTTGGGAGTTGAAGTCCACAAGTCTTAAAGTTGCCAAGTTTGGGAGGCCCTGTGATCTAAGAATAGTATTTTGAACTCTCTTTTTAAAGCAACGACCAACCATGGCAACTTTTAAGACTTGTGGGCTTCAGTATGGCTGGCTAGGGAATTATGGGAGTTAAAGTCTACAGCTCCTGAAGTTACCAAGGTTAGACACCCGTTTTAAAGCAAGCTTGATTCCAGGTAATTTCACAGACAAATTTGGGTAATTTTCTTGACAGCAATAAGGAGGTGGTTTGTCTTTGTCTTCCTCTATTATGCTTTTTTTTTATACCAATAGTTAAAACCATAGCTGTAGGATATGGGGATGATCTCCCATACAATTATTAATTATTAATTCAATCCTACCCTGGATCAGCCAATACAGATTTTTTTTTTTAAAAAAAACCTGAATGATGAAACTATTGAGTTGTTTTCCCTCATTTCTCACCAGATCAGGACTGTAGTGGCAACATAGTTTTGTAGTCTGACACCCATTTTGGGGGAGGATACAGTAGATTGCATATTCCACATAAAAAGGAACTAAGATTGTACTTATGGTTTATTAATTTTGCTGACCTAACAATATCAGGCTGTATTCAATCTGCCAATCAGAGGAAATTATACTGGGCTTGATCAGGAATAGGCAATCTGGTCTGTCCCTTCCACTTATCTCACATTACTATACCCATAAACCAAGGGTCTTCAAATTTGGCAAGTTTAAGACTTGTGGACTTCAGCTCCCAGAATTCCCAAGCTAACATGACTGGAAGAGGAATTCTGGGAGTTGAAGTCCACAAGTCTTAAAGCTGTCAAGTTTGAAGACCCTGCATAAACTATTAGGGCTGATGGGAGTAACAGAATATCAGGCTAGAGCCTGGACCACAAGGACTGACAATGATACATACACCCCTGGTTCATCATTATTCTACACTACAAGGGTATTTCATGTGCACTTATTTATAACTTACTCACCAAAGCCCCTAAGCCTTAGTGAATGATTGGCAGTGGTAATAATATAATTAATGAATTCCTGAATTTCTAGGAAGCCTGGGATTCTTCAGAAAGACATCTTGAAAGCATTGTTATCCTCGGCTCTCTAGGGGGGTCAGAGATTAGGTTCTTTTCTTCAACTGTTGCTGAACTACTACTCCCACCAATAACTGGATCGGAAGTTGCTATTAATCCAATGTCGAAATGTATTTCTCCCACTGTAGTAAACCTCCATCAATGCTGAGAAAGTCCCCAACAATTAAGAAGAACTGACAGATGAATTAAGGAAGCTAAGAAACTGTACCATGAAATTTCAAGATTTACTTGCATACAGTTTAATGTTTGTTAAAAGTAACAGGTCATATACAGCTATCACAAGCAATTTCATTCAATATTGATCCTCCCCCCCAAAAAAGAGAGAAAGAGAGAGAGAGAGAGTATGCAATAAAAGTAGGCACATATTGTTTTTGAGAAATGGTGATCATCCATTTCATAAGCAATACAATGGTAAAAATCAATTGGCAAAATTATCTCAAAGTTTATACTGATTGAAAAGTTAAAAATGACAAAACATGTGAAAGTCAGCCTTTGGAAAGATTGCACTATGAAGATGGATGGGATTTTTACTTTTTACCAATGTTAAGAATTTACATTGCACAAGGTTTCCACTTCCTATCTTTACTACACTGCCCCTCCCCCCTTCAGCAATCAAATGATGAAGTGTTTGCAATAAAAAGATCATCTGAAGGGCTTTTCCACTGGAAGGAGCCCAAAGGAACAATATTTGAATAGGCTGCTTAGTCAAGCTATACACTTCTGTTGTTTTTTCATTTTTGAAAACAGATTCTTTTTCTTCATAGTTCCCATCATGGTCAGTTCTGCAAAGCAGCTCATATTTTATGATCAACAGCCCCGACCTTCCTGTAATGCTAAGAAGTGCCAGCAAATAACCCTTCACTATAGGACCACACAAGGCCTGAATTAAAAGGGGGGGGGGAGTAATTTCAACATCAATATTTTACTCTAACTCTAAAAATTGTTACAAAACATTGATTCATATATTTTTGCTTGAATACATCCAAGATATTCTTCTGCCCAAGTTAACAAGAAATTAAAAAGGGAGCATTGAAATAGCTTTTAAAGAAAAATTACAAAATTCTGTATTTAAGAATAGACAGCTGTACTCTTTTGCTATGAACTTTGGCCCTCATATTCCAAAGATGTTAAGGCCTGATAGTGTGACACCACCCCAACACTCAATAAAACTTATATACATTTAAAAAATTAAAAGTTTTACATGATAACATTTCTTAACATAGACACTGAATATAAAATCAAGCTGATGAGGCTAGCAGATATCTTCCATTCATTTCAGTTGGATTTGAGCAGGAAACATACCAAAGCTACAGTTAAATATGCAGACAGATTTAAAAATATGGAACCCCAAAGTCAACACAATTTTACTTCAGGTTGGACTTACTTTTGGATTCACTGAAACAGAGAAACATGACACTTATGGTTTACACACACTTATTTTTAGGAATCCCCCCCCCAAAAAAATTTAAGATTGTAGCTTGCCAAAAACATTTTGAACTATGAAGGGGAAAAAAGGTCATTTACGCCATTTGCCAAGTTCAATATTAACAATTCCAAATTAACACAGCATAAATAGTAATAGTAATAACAAAAAATCACAGTAATTGTGAAGATGCAGCAAAGCAAGATGTAACAAGTAGTTTTATTTGCTTGTTGTAAATTAAGGACTACTACTTGGTCCCCAAGACAACCATCTCTTTTTATATATCACAGCAACACTATTTAGCTACTGACTCCTTTTACACACACACATATACACACCCCGCAGCCCTTTTCTTCCCACACACTTTATCTCTTTTGGGGTACAAGTCAAGTTCTGTAATAAAATCACTGTTTAAATTCTGGGAAGTAATGAAATATGAAACCACATTCATATAGTGTTCGCCTCTACAAAGGCCAGCCCATGGCAAAAGCCCATGGCTATAGATTTGAGGGCCTCCTGACCATAGCACAAATTTTGAAGTCCAATGTCTATTTAATTAAACTATTAAAACAACACAGCTCCTGAATTAATGCATTTATAGACCGAACTAGGCTTCTTCAGTGCATCTTGAGTTGCTGATACAAACTCACTAGATACACATTATTGTATTCAAACCCAAGCATCTCTTTTATCGGCTGTTCTTAAATTCTTTGCTGGCACAATTCAGTTGGGTACCTCTGCTATACATTCCCATCAAAGTAAAAGACTTTACAGGATGAAGTCAAGCTAGTGTCTCCTTGATAATGGCTGGTGTACAGTTTTTATTACCCTGCTTTGCATGGAAATTGGAGGCTGATGATAATTGAAATCATACTGCAAAACATTCCAAAGGCACTACATTAAGCAAGAGAAATCTGTTCTCTGGCATCTGCGCCTCTTATAAGATGGCTCACACACTGCTTTGTCATTGTTTGCTTAACCATGGTTTGTTGAATAAGCCACAATTAGCTGGCCATACATATCATAATCCATGTCTGCAGAATCACAGTCTGTTAAATAAGCTACAATTAACATAGCTTTACAGTGTAACAGCTGGGATCACACAACATGCTAAGCCAGGCAGAAGCTGTTATGCCATAGCATGATATATGAACCTATGTCTCATTAATAAAGACGTATTAATGGATTTGTTTTTCTTGATCATATGCATATCAAATCACAGTTAAGGATTTGCCTGTGTTCCGAAATTTTCACTTAGTGCATTTGCATTACTCATGACTAAAGTGTTGCATCTGTACCAAGCACAGATCAATTTCAGCCTCTTTTCTGTTTTTAAGATGAAAACTCTGTTTGCTGCCTTATCTTAAGTGTGGGCTTATTGGCAAGGAATAATATCCCAGGATCCCTATTTCTTCCACACCGTTAGCACAACCGATAACAAAACCAGAACCAATTTATATAGTACAGTAAGTCACATAAACTGATGATCTCAAGGGCTATTACTAAAAGATCCTTTACAGTGGGTAAATAAACAGAATACTTGTAAACAATAACAATAAGGGAAAAAAGTATAATATCTTGTTATAGCAGTTGTGGAAGCCAAGAGGAACAGAAAGCAAAACAAATTCATAAACACAAGAATCTGGTTTATCATCTCATTTGAATGGGATTTATACATTTGGAATCTTAACTTAAATGCCAAGAATAATCAAATTGTGCAAATCATGGTTAAGTGTTATGTCTTCACCAAACAAGGATTGCTGAAACATGATACAGTATTTCTATTTAAACACCATTCTGTAATTTTAATCAGTTCAAATTAAGCCTCCTTTAACTCTTTAGCGTAATTTTTATCCAATAAAAATACCCAAGATTTTTTTTACAGTAGAGAAAGGGAGATTCTCACTAGCAGTTTTTCAATAAGAACATTTAATGTGTGGCAGCTGACTTATTTCTGACTCGACCAATTAAATTCTATACATATCAAAACCAAACCAAAGTTACTTCATCTTTCAAAACGTTTAGAAATCTTAATTCGGTATATATAAAAGCAGTATAAAAAAGTGATTATGCAACACAGGCAAAATCCAGATCACTCTTACTAGAAGAGCGGTCTGCTAGAGATCTTGTATGAAAGCTGTATGAAAACAGGAGCCACTGAAATCCCAGGGCAGAACAGGACGTGATTCCAAGAACTGGATACACCAGTCTAGGCTATCCTATCAGCCATGGAACCATTGGGTTTAGATTCAGGCACAGAATCCATATCCTGTTGTGGCTGCAGAAACCTGCTTCCACGCACCCAACATGGGTCAGAAAACCTGCAGAGTTTGCAATCTGGGTCAAGCATAGTATCATTCTCACAGATCAGTTGTGCTGTGGTGGTGGTGGTGGAAATACCCCTATCTCATGAATCCTTCCTAAGGCCAACCATGGTCGGAAGTTGTGCATACGTAAATTCTGATTGCCTTCCAAGGAACAACAGAACACCACTCACCTCACCATTTTACAAAGTGCTTCCGAAACTTGTCCCATGCAATGAATTTTCAGACCCTGCCTTTCTCTTCACTGAATTAAACCGAACATTGTTATATTTGGTATTATCATTTTCAAGACAAAGTCCGAATTGGTCAAAGCAGAGTACCATTACTATATTTTTTTTTTTGTCTTTTCCACTCAAGTGCACCACTAGCTGTTGAAAACTTAGGGTAAGTGCCAGACGCCTGAAGTGCTGTTTGACAGGGGAACACTTTTGTTGACACAACAGAATACAAGGAAAGACAGTTTCCAAAAGTTGCCTTTTGATCTCAGAAATGAGCACATGTACTGTAAAAGGAATAAATTATCAGCATACAAAGGTCAAACTCCATGAAGCCCTAATGATACACATCATTTACCAGTAGACTATTTAATCATAATTTGCTTCGGTACATTAAAGATAGCCTTCCCCGACCTGGAAACCTCCAGATGTGCCCTTCCTAATCTGCAGACAGAATGGCAAACACATCTGGAGTATATCTGGTTTGGGAAGGATGCAGTATGAGGTTTAGACTGCTTCTAAATGCAAGTTCGATTCCTGTGCAAATTGCAATGTGGCTAGTCTTCTCAGTGCCAAAGTTAACTGTAACTTGATTATAACTGGAAGCATTTGACTATGATTTTTTTTTCCTTTTTCGGCATGCTTATTGCTGTAAAAAAAAAGCCAAGCTTATAAATCATTGTGCAAGTATTTTAATAAGATTTGCACACATTTCAAAAAATTCTATCGTGTGGCTCCCTGATCTTGGGGTTATTTCGGTTGTAGAAGAGTCAAGTGAAGAGGTCACTGAAGAGGTAAGAGATGCATCAGATGGTTTTGCTTGAACATCAGGGTCCGAGTCCTTCTGACCAGATCTATAATTAGTCACAGAGCCTGACCTCTGGGGAGTGGTAGTCCCCGATTTTCCTTCCATCATTTCATCTAGGGCAAGGAAAGAGAAGAATTTAAAGAGTAGGGCAATTTGAGAAATTAGTAAGGCAAAATGTTAAAAGTCGCCAGGTTCTATGTATCCAGAATGAACATTTTATCATTATCATTGTTGATGATTGCATAGTAACCCAGGTGTTTAAACTGGATTTGGCATTTTTATTCAACTGGAGCAGGGGTGTCAAACTTGATTTCATTGAGGGCCGCACGAGGGTTGTGTTTGACCTCGGACAGCCATGTTGGGCATGACACAGGACCGCACCTCCGTACACATAGTTTTATACACTTATAATAGAGAGGCATACATTCCTGTGATTTTGTTCTTTTAATACATACAGGGCTGTCAAATTCCCTGCCTGCGGGCTGGATGCGTTAGGTGCTGACCGCGCCCATGCCTGGTTTAACAAAGGGGAAAAAGTCCCGATATGTCACGTGATGCCACCATGATGGCGTGAGTTTGACACCCCTGATCTACTATGAGAGAGAGAGAGAGACAGAGAGACCAGATCAAGAAACTGACTCCATAGGAAGACTAGAATAATAAATTATTGACATAGGCTATAGTAGCAGAATCCTGCAAGCCTGATAGGTAAAATATTTTTCCTTTCCTCCCTTTTACCTTCTGAATCAAGGATGGCCTACAACAATCTGGCAGCCAAAATGGGGCACTGGGGGGAGCACATGTGCCTTGTTTTGGCTGCCAGCATGCTGCATACTGTCTAGGCCTAGAATGGGGTGCCAGTAGGGGCATATGCAGCCCCCTGCACCCCATTTTCAGTAACAGAGGCACTGCAGGCTGATCCTTTGCTATTTCCAGGCTGGCCCCATGGGCCATATCTAAACACCCCACGGGGGCCTTGAGTTTGACACCCCTGTCTAGAGACACCCCTGTCCAGGTTCTGGGATAGGCAGATGTTGTTGTCTGATGGTGTCAAATGTATTCATCCAAGGATGGGTGCAATTCCAAGTAAAGGTGCCTTTTGCAATTGACTTACAGGGATTTTGTCAATGCCAATGGTGCTGAAGTGGTGCTCCAGATCTTTGGGGATTGTGCCTGTTATTATTAATCATTATTAAAATGTATTAGAAAGGTTTTGCTCAACTCAATAAAAACTTGACTTTTTCCACGTGGCCAATCAATTAGGAACCAGGTGTTTGCCATTCCATTGATTCTGAATATCTATCACCAAGAAATACACTGCTCAAAAAAATAAAGGGAACACTTAAACAACACAATGTAACTCCAAGTCAATCACACTTCTGTGAAATCAAACTGTCCACTTAGGTAGCAACACTGATTGACAATCAATTTCACATGCTGTTGTGCAAATAGAATAGACAACAGGTGGAAAGCATAGGCAGTTAGCAAGACATCCCCAATAAAGGAGTGGTTCTGCAGGTGGTGACCACAGACCACTTCTCAGTTCCTATGCTTTCTGGCTGATGGTTGGGTCACTTTTGAATGCTGATGGTGCTTTCACTCTAGTGGTAGCATGAGACGGAGTCTACAACCCACACAAGTGGCTCAGGTAGTGCAGCTCATCCAGGATGGCACATCAATGCGAGCTGTGGCAAGAAGGTTTGCTGTATCTGTTAGCGTAGTGTCCAGAGCATGGAGGTGCTACCAGGAGACAGGCCAGTACATCATGAGACGTGGAGGAGCCGTAGGAGGGCAACAACCCAGCATCAGGACCGCTACCTCCGCCTTTGTGCAAGAAGGGACAGGAGCAGCACTGCCAGAGCCCTGCAAAATGACCTCCAGTGGGCCACAAATGTGCATGTGGCTGCTCAAACGGTCAGAAACAGACTCCATGAGGGTGGTATGAGGGCCCGACGTCCACAGGTGGGGGTTGTGCTTACAGCCCAACACCGTGCAGGATGTTTGGCATTTGCAGACTGGCAAATTTGCCACTGGTGCCCTGTGCTCTTCACAGATGAAAGCAGGTTCACACTGAGCACATGTGACAGACATGACAGAGTCTGGAGATGCCGTGGAGAACGTTCTACTGCCTGCAACATCCTCCAGCACGACCAGTTTGGCAGTGGGTCAGTAATGATGTGGGGTGGCATTTCTTTAGGGGGCCGCACAACCCTCTATGTGCTCGCCAGAGGTAGCCTGACTACCGTTAGGTACCGAGATGAGATCTTCAGACCCCTTGTGAGACCATATGCTGGTGCGGTTGGCCCTGGGTTCCTCCTAATGCAAGACAATGCTGGACCTCATGTGGCTGGAGTGTGTCAGCAGTTCCTGCAAGACGAAGGCATTGATGCTATGGACTGGCCCGCCCGTTCCCCAGACCTGAATCCAATTGAGCACATCTGGGACATCATGTCTCGCTCCATCCACCAACGCCACGTTGCACAACAGACTGTCCAGGAGTTGGGGGATGCTTTAGTCCAGGTGTGGGAGGAGATCCCTCAGGAGACCATCCGCCACCTCATCAGGAGCATGCCCAGGCGTTGCAGGGATCATACAGGCACGTGGAGGCCACACACATTATTGAGCCTCATTTTGATTTGTTTTAAGGACATTACATCAAAGTTGGATCAGCCTGTAGTGTTTTTTTCCATTTTAATTTTGAGTGTAACTCCAAATCCAGACCTCCATGGGTTGCTAAATTTGATTTCCATTGATAATTTTTGTGTGATTTTGTTGTCAGCACATTCAACTATGTAATGAACAAAGTATTTAATAAGAATATTTCATTCATTCAGATCTAGGATGTTTTATTTTTGTGTTCCCTTTATTTTTTTTGAGCAGCGTATATATGGTAATTAAAACTGAAGCTTTGTTGAGCTATGATCAAAAGCCTTTGAGACTCAACAAAAAAGCTTATTATTTATATGTTTCACAATATATAGTGGATTGATGAAATATTTTCCCATGTGGTGCCTTACAGCAATTTCTGGTGATCTTATCTGCGCTGACTTCTAAAGCACATATTGCTATTGGGTTGCAGATACTGGATGAGTGGGAGAAGCAGCATGAGATCCCAGCTACTTTCTATTTTTATGGATTTTAACTTTTGCAATTAATTTTAAATCTGCAGTGGCATGATCCAGACTAGCACCACCATAAGCACCACAGAAAGCAGACGGTTGATCTTTCTTTCCCCATTTATAAATGCTGATATACTCTACCTAAGAGGCTGCCTGCAAATAACCAGTTTTACATACCATCAATGCTACGGAAGTCCAGTAGATAAGTCCTGCTATCCACCTGGTATAACTGCAGACTCATTTTGGAATATGTGCCTGTTATTGGATTCTTTCTCCGAACACGCAAGTAGTATGGATTGACAACCTAGGAAAACAAAGTAGAAACTTAACAGAGAACATCAAAAGAATTATTGCATTGGTTGTCATTATCTCTATTTGAAAATCATCACTTGCAGGGAGGCAATTTAAGCAATCTCACCTTCCATTCATAATCCAACTGCTTGATTGCCCGGCAAACTTCCGCCATTATATCATTTGGCCGACTCTGACTCCGAATTCCTAAATGCCATTTAGCTCTCCTGACCCCCTGATGTTTGGACTTTTGGGGATTTAGCTCATCGAGTGTATGGCGTGACCTTGGTACTTCAGCAACTAAAAACGGCACTCTTTCAGGGTGGGGTCGGGAAAAATGTTCCTCAAGAAAGGAATCTGGTGGGCTTGTAGCTAAGTAGAAGTCTTTTGCTTCGTTCATTATTCTTCTATTATCTATAATGAGGTGATAGGCAACGGCTAACGGATCCTGGTGATTGCGACTATATAAGCAGCTTAACACTTCCTCCTCTGTACATTCAAACTTATCGCAGACTTCTTTTAAGGCTTCATCATCAATCATAGTTGAGCTGTAAGAAGGATCTTCAGGAAAGAGGTACTTGGGGAGGTCTTGTTTAAACCATTCATGTTCCCTAGATGCAAAGCAAGAACCATTTTAAAAGCTAGCCGGTTCCACCATTTCGCCATGTTTTACTGACAGAACATGCAAAGTACACGGAAAAATATGTGCTATAATAGCGGGGAAAAACGTTTCCACTTTCAACCCACATATGGATTTTGCTGAATTTGAAATTAAAGTCCGGTTAGATGCTGTCACTGTAGTAATAATCATCAGATTCAAACATAATCTTTTAAGCAATATTCTTCTCTTCCCTTTTTTAAAATCTGAAGATCTTAACTTCAGTTTTTTCTTGATAAAAAAATAAGTCACCTTTATAATTAAAATAGGAAGTTGGAATAAGTTACAGTACTGCACTTACAAATAAATTTTAAGTTTTTTTTTAACTTTTACAGTGTGGCTATTCCATATGAGTGTTATTTGTAAAAATATTCAAATCATAATTAAACACAATATAAAAGTTTTAAAAATCAGCAAAGGAGTTTAAAATATTAATACTGTAGAACCTTTTTAAAGAAATTTCCTGCAAATACTACTTTTAAAGTATAATTAAAGTATAATCAACAAATTAAATGAAATTGGGAATGCAATATAAAATAGCAAAAGTACTTAAGACTTATATACCGCTTCACAGTGCTTTATAGCTCTCTTTGAGTAGTTTACATTACAATATGCTTTTTATATTGGTACATAAAGTACCTTTTGGAATGTGTTTGTTTACACTGAGTTGGGCTGTCTCCAAAACAGAGATTATAAACCAAAAAGATCTATGTACTGATTAAGAATAATGAGAATTGTAGAGGAACTGATCAGGGGAGAGAAAAACAGTTTGTTCAGGGGCGAATAAATTATTTCAGGTTGGGGTCTGGAACTGAGTTCCCTGACTTGCTAGTTGGCTGGAAAAAGGCCTTCTAGTAGTGTGGTGTCATCACTGTAGAAAAATAGGATGAAAAATCTTCCCTCAATTTTTTGAAATGGGAGGGGAGTTCAAATCTGGAACAGGACAACTTTGTCTTACAGAAATCTCAAGTGCCTATTCTCACTTAAACTGCTCCTCCAGAAACCCCCAAACAGAGTGAAAATTAGGTTGCCAAATTTTCAAATATTTGTGGGGGCCTTGAAACAAATGAAACAAAGAAGTTTCATTACCAAAGTAAGTAATGGCATCAGTGCACCAAAGACATTACAGTTCAACCCTGAGCTACGAACACTCTCTTCTATATGTTTCAAATATTTTTACCATAATATTTTGGCCATGTGGCCCATCTTCTAGAGCAAGAGGTCTTCAAACTTGACAGCTTTTAGACTTGTGGACTTCAACTCCCAGAATTCCTCCTCCAGTCATGTTAGCTCAGGAATTCTGGGTGTTGAAGTCCACAAGTCTTAAACTTGCCAAGTTTGAAGACCCTTGTTCTAGGGGGCTACAAGTGTGATACCATGTGGTTTGAGCAATGACTACTCCTGAATATGGGGAATTCCATAACACACAATTTATTTATTATTTAATTAATTTTTATGTTACCCATATTCCCTATAACACTTTGGGCAGCTAGTTCAGATCTCAACTTAATTTTATATAACATAATTTAAATGAAGACCAATTTGGTTCAATTCATATGCAAAGACATCATGCTCTTAATTCAAATAAAGAAATAGATGTTCTCTATTCACATGCAGGGCTAATCTTCAGGTAACCTAAAATAAACATGGTGTCAGAGTGTATTGGGCTCAAGTTTTGATCCAACTCCCTTTTGATTCAACTCAACCTAATCACAAAATGGCTTAATATGATACAATAACCAAGACAGTGTGAAGCCAACAATTGAATAAAACTTGCATAGTTTTAGAATGATAATTGCCTCCATGATGGAACCAGATGCTGTAAGATACCTTATATCTTTCACCGTTGCTCTCTTCATAGGATCCACCTGTAGCATGTGTTTCAAGAGACTAATAACTGCTGAATTTAAGTACTGAGGCGTATAAAAGATACCATCACATATCTTCTTAAAAAGTGTTGGCACATGATCATCATCAAAGGGAAGAGTTCCACATAATAAAGCATAGAGAATAACACCACTGCTCCAGATATCTACTTCTGGCCCTGCGTATAACCTGTAAAATGGAGATCATAATATTTTTTCCAAGTAAAAAATACAACTTGTGTTACACTGGATTATTAGTCTTTTAAGCAATGTCTGTAATATAAAATAGAACAAAACTGGTAAAGTGAGCTAATTTCTATAGTCAGAAAGACCAAGGCCTTGATCTGGTTTGGGCAAATTTAATGGGCTGTAGTCCAATACTGTCTCTTGTTTACACATTTGTGGCAGGATACAGCCTCTCCCCTTCTCTGAGCAGCCTCCTTTCTATCTAATTATGCTTAATGTAGGATTAGTCAGCTTGTCTAAAGCAACAGAACCAAGCCCTCAAGTTTCCAAAAGTAGTTAAATGCAAGCTTTGATTACTTTAGCCCTCATTAGCATTATGTAGTGACTAATTTAAGGTAAGAGGCATAGGAAATTTAAGGTAAAGATACCATGGAATCATCTCCCTCACATGGAGATGATGCCATACAAAACTCCTTGTCCACTCCTGACTATATTAGCTGCAGTTAAAGCATAGACTACATACATTAAAGAACTGTTGTGAGGTTAAAAACAAAATATGCTCGTGAGCTCCTTTGAATGAAGAGTGTAGTTCAAATGCAATTTATATTCAGCAATATAACACACCATCACAGAACTGCATTGTGTATAGCGTAATCTGGGAGCCCTGAAAGCATTTTCAAAGTATCAATAGTCTTTTATCAAATTGCACCTAAAAATTAAAACGCCAGAAAGAAAACCTTCTAATCTGGAAAGCGTGTTTCTGACAATATACATCATGCTATAATTATTCTGAGCCAAAAAGGAAAACCAATCTTGGGACCCTGTCAGACCACAGGTATTTTTGCAACTTCAATCAAAAGGCAGAAGTTTTTTGTCTTCTTCTAGGGTCAGGTATAGGCATGTAAAACATTTAAAATTAATATTGGCAAAAACATATCTTTGAACTTAGACAACTTAGAAATTTGTTTGCATATCATGGTCCAACACAGAAGTGCTCTCTTCTGCCTCCTAAGGCCCTTTCAAAGATAGTGGCGCATTGTGATTTTCCATGACAGAAAGACAATATGTACAATTAAGTTAAATATATTAATCATATTAAAACTTATTAACTGTATTCCAACTTTATTATTAAAATTGTAGTATAATTAAATGAAAAGAGAGTCTAAAGAAGATTCTGGCCCACCATTCAAAAGTTGCCCCCAGCCCTTCAAATCCTGGGTATCAGTGACTCAACATAATGCGCACATGTCACAGCAACATTTGACTTCTAGGCTCCTTCCCCTCATCTCCTCCTCACTGCTTGAACGATGAGTTTGGAAGCTTTTAATTTGCATTTTGTAATATAGATTGCCATATTGTCCACAATAAAAATCATACTTAAGAATTATAGTTACTGTCTACAGAACCCAAATTCAAATGCTATAATCTGGCTTGTTTGAAACACTCCAGAAGTCCTTCTGGTATGCAGGAGGAGGACAATAAAAATGAGGTACATGTGAATTTGTTGCATGTTTTGTTAAGTCATGGTTTGATGTGACATGTGCGATCACCATCATTGTCTTGTGCACAGAAACAATTAAGATAAAATCAAAAGAAGCCATCAAAGCCAGGAATTTCAAATTTCCAAACCTGGAAGTTTCTCAATCTACCTTGCAGCTTTAACACTGAAGAGCAGGGCTTTGATTTTGAGAATACATATATACATTTATCCAAGAAGAGAAACTACCTTCCTGAAATTACTTCTGGAGCAGCGTAGTTAGGAGAACCACAGCTTGTTCTTAAAAATTCTCCATCTGACATCATATTTGAGAGACCTGAAAATGCACAAGAGTTCAAATGAAGACCCACAAAAAAAGAGATAAACAAATGTTTAACCTTCTCTCAGGGAGAATACATCATATCCTATTCAATGAGAGCATCACAGGCAGGAATAAAATCAGAATCATGTGTGTCATACTTGCTTTTTTTTAAAATGGTTCTCTAAATAGAAATGAATACTGCAAAACCTCTATAAAAATGTGACAAGAAAAAGAGTTATGAAGGAGACAAAATGCCCTCAAAGGATCAAGTTTTATTCTAAGTAGCTAGTATGCAGATACCAGGTGAGGAAAAAATGCAGAAAGAAAATTGCATTTTTTTTTTAATCATATTTGTTTTATCAACTTTACTGACAGCTCAAACATTTCTTTCAAATCAAGTATGACTCCTGGGGAATTTGTGATTACACTGATGTAATTTTTTTTTTTGCAACAAGAAGGAAATGGTTCAATTATATCCTTCTAGAATGTTTGTTCAGCTTACAGACCTGTAATTTCCTAGAAGTGTATCATCTAAGCATAAACCTCTTCTTAAGATTCTGAAGATCAATAAAGATTTGCTAGATGTCGCTATCTAACAGCACTTAAATAAGATAAACTAATGAAGGGTTTAAACCTTACAATGGGAAATTATGCTTATAGAACTTTCATAGTTCAAGAGTTAAGTATAGCCACCTAGTCATGCAGGTGTGTGTGTGTGAGAGAGAGAGAGAGAGGGAGGAGGAGGAGGAATCCTTGCTCAATCAGATGCTTTTCAAATGCGTTGAGCTTCAAATCTTATAATCCCAATACAAAAAAAAGAATTAGGGTTAGGGTTTACTGAATGGTTTCCAGTGGATTTTCTATTGAATACACAGTAATATCAACTCAGAAACAGAAAAAGTTGTGACATACATTTTAATCCAATTAAAAATCAAGAATCCAAAGAATATAGAATTTAGTAAGAGTTCAGCTTTTCACATCTACCCTAATATTTATTTTTAATTAGAACATTTATAGAGTTGCATTGTTGAATGTGTGTTTTTTTAATCCAAAAAAATCACTTTGCATTTAATTTTAAATAAACCCGGATCCCATAAAGCTGGCCCATTACCGCAGGGCTGTGAAACTCGTGGCCCATGGACTGGATGCGTCATGCTCTGGCCACATCCATGCCCAGTTTAGCAAAGAGAGGAAAAGTCGTGATAGGTCACGTAATGACGCCATGACGATGCAAATTTGACACCCCTGCATTACAGTAAGAAAAGCATTAGCTTCCTACAGCTGGCTCTCTTCATCCACAATCAATCCACTTTATCATCTATCAGCATCCCTTAGTCCTTCATTCTTCCCCTTGTGGAATTCAGCTTGTAGGTTTCTTTCTACAAAGGTTCATGGGCACCCAAGATTTTTTTGTTTATTTTCCACATGAGGCATGGAGAAAACTTTTCCCATAAAGCGCATGGAAGTGAGATAAAAACTATCTCTGCTCGGGAAGACATAACAAAGCATTGGAGCCAGGGCAATAGAATATTAGCAGCTATAGTGACCAATCAAGGATTCAAAAACTTAGCAATATCCTCGGCTCCAGGCCAACAAGTTACAATCCTGGTGGCTGTTTTGAGGAGGCAGCTGTGGTTTGATCCAGACTAAGTGCTTGAGGAATGACTCATATTTATTGTAGGAAGTAAAAAGAAAATAATGAATACTTTGTGAAAATGTATTGATTTGGGTTTTGTTAAATGAAAGAAACACTATGTGAACCACTGTGAACAATAAACTTTGCAAGTAAGCTTATCAAGTGTGACAGAAGGGAAAAAAACAAGTAATGTTTCTGCAAATCCTTGCTTTTTAATCTGAACAGTATGAGTGAGAGACAGAGAGGCTGAGGAAGAATAAAACTGATTAAATGTGCTCAATTAAAATCATACAACACAGAAGGATATAAAAAGTTCTCTAAGATCTTTCCCTGCTAAACGATGATAGCAAGTTTCTCTATTTTAAAGATAGTTTCTTATCCAGATATTTTGGTTTGATTTCTGGTTCTATTTTCTTTATTTCTGATTAAACATTATTTTTTCCCCTGTTGTAGCTCCACTGTTTTTGAGGTCACTTTAAATAAATCTGGCTAATCAGATCCTAACAAAGTATGGTCTTTAGGTCTCTGCTTGGAAAACCTCTGTCCATTAAAATTTGAAAATGTCAGGAAACATCTTAAGCAACATAGCTGGAATATTGATTTTCAAACCAGTCTAAACCTACTATCTAGCCCCATGATTCACAGATTTTCCAAAAATGTGCCCTGGCCATCTTCTTATCACTCTCAAATTCAAATTCTGAAATTTCATTGCTTCTTCATTTTGGCTAGGTTGAACTCTAACATAGCTTTCCAGGTTGCTCAATTTTGTTCCATCATTATGCCACCTGTCCTATCTACAACTGAACAAATGTTGCTTTTATCAATATTACTTTTAATACATGGTACGTAGTTTGATTCTGTTTTATATCTTTTTAGTTTTATTAATAATTATAGGTTGTTTTTTTTATTATACTATGACCTAAATGCTGTAAAAAAAAGGTGTTAGGTTTTTGTTTTTGTTTGGTTTTGATCAGAAGCAGATGCGACTGAGTAATTCTTAACACTGTTCTCCTGGCCTTCCAAAATCTAATTAAGATTTGGGTGCTGATGGCATAGGAAAAGAATGCTCCTCCATTAAGTAACAGTGAATATCACCTCTATCAACAGAGGGGGGAAAATCTCCGTATGTGTGAGTTGATAAGAGTTAAGAAGAGACAATTCACCAGCTCATAAAATAATTCTAAATCCATCTGCTTTCTCTGCTTGTTTGTGGCATGAGGATGTGCGTGCTCCTTTCTGATCTGAACACATGCCCCAGGTACTATTCTGTCACTAAGTCTCTTTTTGGCCCCCTGAATCAGTAGCTTAGTAGTTAAAAAAAATGAGGGGATAAGAAATAGTGCTATGTTCATCATCATCATTAAAAAAGTCCTGCCAAGAACGTAATAAGGGTTAACAGAGAGGCAGTTTCTGTAAGCAACACCAGAATGTTTCCTTCCTGCCTTCCTTACAGGATTAGGCCAGTGATTTCTTCTAACAACCGGTTCTCCGAACTGCTTAGAATGTTAACCGGTTCTAGCAAATAGGTGTGAACTGGTTGAATCCCACCCTGTACAAGAGCAATTTGTCGAGTGAGCATATATACAAGGTAAAAAATACCCTGAACTTAAAAGCATGAGTAACAGCAAAAACATTCAATACTAGAAATAAAAGACCTTTCTGTGATGTTATGGACTTCAACACAGGTATTTGAATCTTAACAGCCGACAAACAAGCAAATTATAAAGATAGGCTTTAAACAGAACGTACCAAAATCAGCAATCTTGGCATTCATGTGCGCATCAAGTAGTACATTTTCAGGCTTCAAATCTCTATGGACCACCATGTGCCTATGACAATAATCCACACCAGAAAGAATTTGCTGGAACAGACGTCGACTCTCCTTTTCATCAAGCTAATTTTTTTTTTTTGGTGGGGGGGAGGGGGGGGAGAACATGAGACAAAAAAGAAAGAGTACATTAAAAAAAAAAAAAACCACATTCACCACAAACCATCTCAGCATTAGTGGCGAAGGAGAATGTTTCATGGCATAACCAGAATGCCCAATGGGACTTTTAAAAGAAAGTGCACGTGGAAGAAAGGGGTAAGAAAAAAAGAATAAGTAAAATTAGGGAAAAGAAGAAGGAAAGCAGGTTTTCCTCCAGTGAATAAAAACAGTCAAGATGACACCCACAGCCATTATGAAAGCATTGCCGCCGCCCCTCTTAAGCCCTGCTCATATCACCTGTGTAAAAATTGGATATATAGGTGTGGCCAGAGTTTTGATATTTTTCTTTTGTTTTACTTTTACTCTATGTATGATCATCTGAATTAAAAACGGATACTCCATCAACAAAGTATGCAGAACTGGAGGGTGGTGGGATTAATAAATCACAATCAAGAAAACATGGTGACACTCACTTCATTGAAAAAGGGGTATGTAAACTGGTTTAAAAATCAACATTAAAAAGGCGAAAGATTTATACGATCTGAAGAGAAACCAGAGTGTTCAACATTAATCATTCTCTTAATAATAGTGAAGACATTCAGCCATTCTTTTTCCATTCTGGAATGTCACCATGTCAGAATTTGCCCCACCTCCACCCCCAAATCCCATAAAGTTTTTTTCCTAATTTTTCTAAACATAACTAATCATCCCTTAACAACTGTGCTACTAATTTAACGACTGCAGTGGTTCACTTAACAACTGCGGAAAGAAATGTTGTAAAACAGGGCACAATTCACTTAAATGTCTTCCTTAGCAACATACATTCGGGATTCAATTGCGATTGCAAATCAAGGACTACCTGTATTTTACTGGAAAGCTGGGAGATCTTTCTAAAATCTTGAGAGTACAAGCTGGACTGCAATCTAAACTTAATGTTTCACAATTCAGTTTCTTACTAGGATATCACTATCCACCCATTTCTACATTATTCTTAATTTGAAGAAAAGCAAAAAGATGCAGCCTAACTAAATGACTAATCAGCACTAGGAATAAAACATCTACTTTTATACCCGCTTCTAAGAGAATTTAAGGAAATTGAACAACGAATGTTACATGGGTTACTGCCAGGGGTGGTATTCTACCGGTTTGGAACGGTTCTATAGAACCGGTTGTTATAATTCTGTGCAGTTCGGAGGCCCTGCAAATCGTGCCTCTGGCTGGCCCTTACCCTCTCCGCCCACCCCTCCCCATCCAGTCAGTCCTTATTGCGCATGTATGATATTGCACGCATTCCTGACATCGCTGACTGTATTCTCCCCCTTAAGCTCACTCCTTAAGCTCTTTCTTTTTTTTCCTCTCGACGATCAGCTGTTCCGATGATCAGCTGTTCCGGGATCCCCCTCACTGTCTTACTGCTTCGCCCAGGAGGCTTCCCTGAGGCCCATGCTCAGTTTTTAGCCTCTTGGGCCTCAGGGAAGCCTCCTGGGAGCAAAAACGCCCCCCCAGGAGGCTTTCCTGAGGCCCAGGAGGCCAAATAAAGGAGTGGGGGGGGTGTTTGCTAGAAAAAAAGCCATGCCCACCCAGTCACATGGCCACGCCCACAGAACCGGTAGTAATAATATTTGCATCCCACCCCTGGTTACTGCTGAGATGTAAATGGTTAATGATCAGAACTACTGATCGGAACAAATTCCAGACATTAAGATCTAGACCTGGAAGATCCATTGATGTGTGTGTGTGTGTGTGTGTGTCCATCTGCATGTGTAGTCTAATCACATATATCAAGAGTGTCAAACACAATTTCATTGAGGGCTACATCAGTGCTATAGTTGACTTCAGAAGGCGGGGCGGGCATGGCCGATTGGGTGGGTGTGGCCATCTTGACTCCACTCACCGGGCATGGCCAACTGGGTGGGTGTGCCAGCTTGATGCCACTCCCCAAACTGCTGGCATGTTTCCTCTTCGCACTGGGTAGACTGGGCTGAAGCCAGGCTGGACCGATGTTTCATCTTTGCATTGGGGAGATCAGGCCGAAACGACACAGGACATCCCCTTACATTTTCCAGGATAGCCCCAGTGGCCAGATCCGACCACATTGCAGGCCGGATCCAACCTGTGGTCCTTGTGATTGACATCCCTGATATACATCATCCCATTTTATTTAACTTCATTTTATTTATTATTATTCATTTTATTTATTAAAATTTGTTTGCCACCCAACTTGCTGCTAGGGACCACATCACTTAGCAATAGCAATCCTAGCAGTCCCTGTTACTGTCGTTAAGCGAGGACCAGGCAGATCATTAAGCAAAGCCGTCACCTAACAGCTATGTGGGAAGAGACGCGGAAACTGCATCTCAGACAAGCAGGCTAGCAAAGAAGAGCTATGGGTAGGTGCTAGGGAGTATGCATTGGCAGGCAGATGCTGTTGGCAGGGCACTACAGGGTGTGGTGAGGTGCTACGTAGCATGGGTGAGTAGGTGCTATGGACAAGCACTATGGAGTGCAGACAGGTGCTATAGAATGCAAGTGGGCAGGCATCATGGCAGGGGTGTCAAACTTGTTGTCACGTGACATATCACAACTTTTTCCCCCTTTGCTAAACTGGGGGTGTACATGGTCAGGGCGTGACACCCCTACACTATGGAGTACAGGATCCCAATGTTAACCCAATGGCTTCTCTGAAGAAAAAGTAATAGAAGCCAGAACAACCTGTTACCTCCTGCTGGCTTCCCAAAGCTGGGAGGAAAGGTCAGAAACTTGCATGATTACAGGATACTGCAAATCATATTAATTGCAAGCCAATTGCCAAGTACCCAAATCATAATCAAATGACTATAGGGATGCGGTAATGGCCACAACATCAAGGACCAGTTGTAAGTCCCCCCCTCCCCCTGTTCAGTGCCACTGTGAACTCTGAAGAGTCACTAAATGACCGACTGTATCTCAGGGATTACCTATATATAGATGTATGTGTGCATGTGTGCTTTCCTTTAAATTAGCAGTGGCAACTTTTGATACAAATTTGGAGAAAGTAAAACCAAGTACGCGAAGCTGGTGTGGCTGTGCCATGCATGCCAAGTCGGAGCTGGTTTCAGAGGGATAATTTTAAGAAATGACCATCTAGAGACATTCTAAAGTTTCAGCTCAGCTTTTGTGTGTGTCCAGATTCAAAATAATAAGAAACAGTACTTGCTAATTTATGGCAAATTCAGAAGAGTGTGGCAGTTTATTGCCTAAGTGTTCTGCAAGCAAGGAAGCATTTATTTGTTCGCTCTTACAAACTGTCCAATTGGGATTTTATTCGTATTATAGACAGAAAAAACCAACACCCACATGAACAGGTAGATGTATCCTGAGCACAATTTTTTACAAAGACCCTGGGGCTTAATTGAACTAACTCTGTGTAAGAGAACAATGCAGGCTTCAAAATGAAAAGCTGACACTTTTGGAGAAATTGGACTTTCTCACCTTTCCATTTTTGCAGATATAATCAAACAGTTCTCCTCCTGAAACGTATTCCATCACCATAAAAATGTCAGACGGTGTACTGATAACCTGGTATCTGAGAGAAGTATTTAATTAATTTGCTAATATATATTCAGGATATAAAATTAAACAGGTCATGAAAAACTACACATAGATGAGTAGCCCAATCACACACATGCTCAGCTGGAAGCAAGACTTGAGTTAAAACAGGATTATTCCCTTTGTATCAGCACTACCAAAAGCATCGTGCAAAAGAAAAAGTGGGGTTTTTAAAATTCATTAGTGGCTCCTATTAATTAATGGACATATCACATATGGTAATATTTCACAGCAATTGCCACAGTAGCCTAACCTTTAACAGGAATTAAAGCAATTCAGTAAAAACATCTTAGAAAAGGATTCCCATTTGACTCAAACATTCCTCTCCCTATTATTAAATTTTAACATAAAGCTGATAACAAGAAGATTCATGCTTGACATGGAATTTGATCAGTTGGCCATATTTAAAAACCCAATTTCACAAGAAAAGGAGAATCAAGCCTACTTAAGGTCATTCTACAGCTATACTATTAGGATAACCAGCAAACTATAACATGTGGAAGACCATGAATTCAAGCCCCGCCTTAGCCATGAAAGCCAGCTGGGTAACTTTGGACTAGTCACTCTCTTTCAGTGCAACCCACCTCACAGGGTTGTTGTTGTAGAGCAAATTGGAGGAGATTGGTGTGGTTCATCGCCTTGAGTTATTCGTAAAAATAATAAAATTGGGATACAAAGAAATTAAAAAATACAGATAGCTATTAGGTGATCCATCCCAAAATCTGATTCTCTTCTTCCTTACCTTCTCCACTGATAGTAGATACATGTCTGCTGTCCACTACTAGCTACCCTTCAATTGTTCAACTGCTATTCTAAGGAGCACATCCCAGCAAGCCATAATGGGTGAGAAAAACAAAATGATTAGGAGAAGCTTCTGCAATAACTCAACCGCTGCATTGCTAAAGACCTTTGATCTGTAACCATGAAGGATAACCTTTCCTTTACTCAGATAATAATCACTGCATTTTCTCATCAGGCAACACAGACAGCAACACTGGCTTGAGGCTCCTGAGGCAATTATTACATACCATTAAGTCTCTACTGAAAGGAGGGGCAGTTTGTCATCCCACTTTTTAGCAAAAGGAACCCTACCTCTTATTAGGTAAAAATATTTCATGCCTTCCTTGTTGCCACCAAATACATCGCTTCTCAGGCACTGAGGAATCACTGTTCATTTTCATTACTGGGCTGGCTACCAATAATTTGACACTGAAGTCATAAGTTTTCCAACTCTATCCAAAATATAAATGGTGGTCTACCATTAGTGTGCCCACACTAAGCAAACAGGACTGTACCTGAAAAACAGGCTATATTTGTTTTATCTATTGAACAAGAACACTCAGTTTCTCAAGAAACACCTCAAATAAAAGAGCTTATTCTGAAAGAAACTTACAGTTTAATTATGTGTGGATGCCGAAAAAGTTTCAGATTCTGAATCTCTCTACGGATTTTCCCCACAACGTCAAGACTCCGAATTTTCTGTCTATTCAAGATCTTCACTGCAACTTTGTGGCCTGTCAGTTCATGCTTGCCAACTGCAAGAAAGATAAACAAATATTAACAAATGCACACTGCATAAAGTCATTGTTTGCTGAGCCAGGGGTCAGTGAATAAGAAAAAAAAATTGGCTGAATTCACACAACACACAAGGGCAGAAACTATAATTTATAAATCTCCATGGTTGGATTGGGACAATAAGCTCAAAGAATCTACGTTATGATTTTGTAACATTTTATGACACACGGCTCAAAGTTTTTCCCAGATACTATTTTGTCAAGAAAACAACATGGGCACACTTGTATAGTCATCAAGAGAGAATTCATCTTTATCCAGAGATTGTTATTTGGCAGAGTAAGTGACCAGATGTAGGATTCTGAGAGAATATTGTGAGCAAGGGTGTGCAAAATATATCATTTTAGGGGTAGAATATTTCACATCCACAAACCAAATCCCGTTCTGGAAATCTGCAGGACCATTCTTTTAATGACCATAGTCTGGAGGGGGGGGGAAATGAAAACTTCTGTCCCCAGAACTGTGTATGTTGCACATCTGAACTTGTAAGCAGTCTTTAAAAACGGCTGCTTAGGAGAGAGACATTAGTTCTTGCTAGGCTGAATGTGTAAATGAGTTTTAAAAGATGACCTTGATAGAGATATACCATGTCCGTTACCAAAGCGACAAGGGAAAGAAATACTGTGTGGCTTAAGTGCAGAACAAGAAGAAAGTATGTGCAAGTGAATAGGGCAGGCATCTCCCTAATTCACATTTCATTTGGGGGAGTGGAGGGGCACAAGGAAAAGAACGGAGCAGAGTCAGACTTGCAAGAATGATTTCCAATCAATACCACCGAAGGTCTCAAATGACTTTTATTAACGTCGATTAACAGTAACAGGAACTTTCAAGTATGATATGTTTTATTCATTCGTTGCCTTTTGATCTGCTGTTGGGACTGTCCTGGGCTCCAAAAACTGACCTTTATTTCCTGCTTTTGAAGTGCAATGGCTTTGCGCAGCACAGCAGATTGCCGCGTGTCAGCTGTGGAAGACACAGGGAGAGTGCGGGACTGCAGGCGCTGAATGGGAAAGCCTCTGCGCATGCGCCAAACAAGTGTTTGGCGCATGTGTGCAAAGTGTGTGCACGCATGCAAAGTGCATCCACCAAGCCATGCCCACCGAATCAGTGGTACACCACTTTAAAACCCACCACTTTTCTTGTGCCTGTAGATAACCTACAGTGGATTTGGAATGGCGTTAGTGTACTAGCCCCTCCTTGGTCACAGCATCCATCTGAACGGAAAAGTAGATTTTCAGGGTTCATGGTATCCATCTGGAGGGTTGGAATAAGGGCCACATTTTTACAATGGTTCTCTTTCCTCTGTAAGGCTGATTCTGGGGTGGGGTGGGGACTTTCCCAGGGCCTTTATTTTGCAGGAGCCTCAGGGTTCCCACAAGTCTTCAAATAACAATTTAACATCTATATGAAACTGCTGGGTGAGGTAATTTATTGCAAAGGGCTAAGTATCTTGATAACAATCAAATATGTGTCTCTGTTCTGAACTATCCAAGTGATGGGCCAAAGATTGTGTATTGTGGTTGTGAGTGTCTGAATGGGAATAGCAGGCTTTGACTCAGCCCTAACAGGACTGATGGACTGTGATTTAAGGTTCCCCAGATCTATAACTCTTTTCACTAAACACGGATGAAGTTAACACTCACCCAGAGTTGGTATGTAATTTGGAAATCTTTCTAGACTCATAGCTCCTTGAGAAATAGACAGGAGCCACAGACAAAAAGGCTTTTACACAAATCCATCTTATGTGCTTAATCCTGGATTACCAGGCTCTACTTGTGATAAGTCATGCCTTGGACACTTCTCCATTGGATTCCTGTGTCCTGCTCTGCACAGGACAGCCCTTAAAAACCACTGGAAGATGTAGATGCTCAAGAATTCACAGATTGTACACCTTGGTACTTCCACGTAATGCCACTCATACATAGTTTCATTGGCTCCCAGCAGGTTTCTGGGTTCAATTCAGAACCCAGAATTTAACCAACGTGTGTGCCACCAACTTTAAAGCTTTGTTACCTGTGAAGCTGGTGGCACACATCTTGGTTACTTGTGGGGTTACATGTGGGTATGTTCCAAGTCCCTTCTGTGAAACAGTATTAGCAGTAAGGTAAAGGTAAAGGTTCCCCTTGCACATACGTGCTAGTCGTTTCCGGCTCTAGGAAATTTCCCACCAAAGTGATCCCTATTTTTCTACTTTCATTTTTCCATTGCTTTCAAACTGCTAGGTTAGCAGAAGTAGCGGGAGCTCACTGTGTTTCGTGGTGCTAGGGATTCGAACCACCGAACTGCCAACCTTTGTATTATCAGCAAAATATGTCTTCTCTGTTGCTGCATGTTCCCTATGGAACACTCCCCAGCTGGCATTCCCAAGATTCTGATGATCCCAATTCTGTTGGCCTGTTTTGTGTTCTGAGACTGTTTTGCAAGTAATTATTTTAAGAAGAAAAAAAACTACCTTCTGGCAATGTTAGTCCGCTGAAATACTTTACTAGAAGAGGAGAGACAGCAGCACTGGATTCATTAATTGAGAGTTCTGTCCTCAAAATCCAAAGTATCAGATTATCATCATTTGCTCCATCAATTGTGTTAGGAGGCAGAATAGTGGGGAAAATGTAACAGATAGACCTTCCTTTAATCATTATTCACCTCACTGTGTCCAACCAACCATCTTAGGAGGTCTGAGTTTTGTTTTGTTTTTTGGGGGGGATGGGGAAGCCCCTCACCTATCTGATTAGCTTAAGGACTCTATTTTCTTTTATGGAAAAGATGAGTTAATTTTTTCTATTTCTCTCTGCCCTTTACTCTTGATAGTCTATTCTAGGGGTCGCCAACCTTTTGGACCTCAGGGACCACCAAACTCATACTTTTAAATCCCAAGAACCACTAATACAATTTTTTTAAAAAAAGTTAATATATTTAATATAAAAAAATATTTTTATATTAAATATAAATTAAATATATTACATATACATGCATACATGCATACATACATGCATGCTTATTTAATTATAACAAAATCGTAAATGTGCCGCCAGCCCCCTCTCGCTGCAACAGCCCCATCACTTCATTCAGGCTGGCGAGGGCTGTGCTGTTTTTTGCAGGTTTACGCTCGGCCGAAGGGAGCCAGCAGGTGGGCGGGCCATGTGGGCGGGCAGCCTTATGTTCCCGCACAGCCTGGATTAATTGCTTTGGGGCGGACAATTCTCTGCGGCCCACCAAAATTTTCTCACGGACAACCAGTGGCGCCCACCGGTTGGTGACCACCGGTCTATTCCACGGGTGTCAAACTTGATCGCGTTACATTGACGTATCAAGAAAAAAGTGACTTATGAGCATTTTTCACACTGATGGCCATTGCAGCATCCCCATGGTCACATGATCAAAGCTTGGATATGTGGCAACTGGCATATCTTTATGATGGTTGGGGTATCCTGGGGTCATCTGATCATCTTCTGGCAAGCAAAGTCAATGGGGAAGCCAGATTCACTTTACAACCGTGTTACTGACTTAACAACTGCAGTGATTCAGTTAACAAGTGTGCCAAGAAATGTTCGTACAATGGGGCAAAACCCACCTTAACAATTGTCTCGCTTAGCAACAGAAATTTTGGTCTCAATTGTGATCATAAGTCAAAGACTACTTGTATATATTCATAGTATCTATGCATGTAATAAAACTTCCATATTTGATTTGTGTACGCCAGTGGTGGGATACAATTTTTTTTACTACTGGTTCGGTAGATGTGGCTTGGTGGACATGGTGCGGCTTGGTGGGTGTAGCTTGGTGAGCATAGCAGGGGAAGGATACTGCAAAATCCCCATTCTCTCCCCATCCTACTAACCTGCATCCCAGCTCCGTTCTCCTGTGCAGGGCAACAAAAGAAGACCCAGCCGATCAGCTGAAACTCGGGAGGAAGAGAATAGATGGGGGTGGTGCCAGTCAGAGGTGGTATTTGCCGGTTCTCCAAACTACTCAAAATTTCCGCTACCAGTTCTCCAGAATTGGTCAGAACCTGCTGAATGCCACCTCTGGTATACGCTTTGTTAACAATGTACTATATCTACCACTAAAATAAGCAATATGGAAGTAAAGAATCTCACGTGCCCACATGACTTACGATATTCCTCAGACTGCATACAGATATTCGGAATTACTATTTTTATAAACAGGTGTGACATGGCACGGAAAGAGGAATAAAATATATTCACCGAATATATCTTTGAACTGCTCAGTTCTCCAGAACTTGAAACTGCAGCTCATTGACTTTTAAAAACAAAAAAAAAGAATCCAGTCTCCTACAAGTACAGTAATGCACAAATAGATGTCACTTCCCTTGAGCAGTATGTCTCAGGAACTCCTAAAAATAAAAATGGAGTTGTCTATGAAAATGGGAGATCTGCCAAAACAATGGAAAACTTGCCAAAACAAAGAAAATTGCAAGCCGGCAAATTTAGTCTAAGGCTATATATTTCAACTTGGAGACAGATATACCTGTTAGGATAGGGATCTCCAAACTTGGCAACTTTAAGACTTGTGGACTTCAACTCCCAGAATTCCCCAGTCAACATGGGGAATTCTGGGAGTTGATTGAAGACCCCTGTGTTAAGACAAAGATACCTCAAGGAGAAATGAAGCCTCCTTGCTATATTCCTCCAAAAAAAAAAAAGCTCAATTTTTACAGTCTTACCTTATTCTTATTATTGACCAGACCAAGTTGTTTTTATATCTGATATCAGAGATGTGAATGACATTAGATAGAGGTTATACCTAAAGACCATTTTAAGTTCTCCTTCAAAGGAAAGCTCCTTTCCCAAATAATTCCCTGTGAAAAGGGAACAGACTCCCTAAAATTCCAGAAAATACAATAAGTTCTTCTGCCTTAATTAAAACAAGTATAATATTATTTTCAGCCTCCAAGGCTTGTAGGGCATATGATCAGGGACAAGACCATATCACCAGACAAGAT